AGCTTGTCATGCGTACAGACCGAGGCGTGCATTTTAACATAGGTATGCTGTGCCATTAGACTCTTCAGCCAATTTGGTATTTTGTGTCTTACCAGGAATGATGAAAGCAACTCTGAGCTAGTCTCTTTAATGGTCTTTAAATCTAGAGTTAAATGGTGTATGTCTTGCCTTTTAACTATATGGGCCTTCATTTCACGATTTGAGTTCAAAACTGGAGACCGTTTCATTCTTTCTCTGTGACACTCACTGCAGTTCCCCCTCCACCCACCCTCCCTCATATTTAATTTTATAGTTCTTTCAGACATAAACATGAAAAAAAAAGCAATTTTGACTTAGTTTCTGAGTGTTGCTGCAAAGAAAAGTAACAAACATCTGTTTTTACCTTAACTGCATCCATATGTTCAACCTCCCCATCACCCTCCTTCCCAAAAAATTTACAGCCGTATTTGGTGGGTACTGCATACTGTTGAATTAACTTTCTTCACAGTTAGATTAGAGGGTAAGTTCAGAGACTGAAAATATCCATACTAAGCAGTGGCCAAAAGCTACATTATAACTAAGCCAAGTTTTCAAGTTTTTCACTCCTCTTCTTTTAATTTACTTCCCTATTACCCTTCTCTCCTCCCCACCCCCCAAGAAAAGAGGAGATGATCCAGGAGACTTTTTTTAGGAACAGGTTATTGTGGTAATCGGATAACATGAACTTGTGAAATTTGCTTATGGCTTTCATACTTATAAATTAATTAACATTTGAAATACCATGTTTATCATAAGTATGTGGTTTTAGATGCATACTGTGTGGATTATTGTGAAGAGTTAGTTACCTTGTTTCGTTTTATTACTTCTTGTTGTAGCATCTGGAACAATTCTGGCCTTACCAAAGTTTTGTTTTTGTAGAGGATTAACAGGAAGAAGGCTATTTTACTGAGACATTTGAGCAGCAGTGAAACAAAATGTTGAATGATACTATCTTTTACTTTGTGGTATGCAGCATGCTTTCAGAGATAAAAGTTTGTGGAACTTTCAAACAAAGGTTATTCCTTTCCAGTTATATAGTGCCTTTAGTAGATGCGAAACTAGTTTTGCAAATCTCCCAAATACTTCTACTTAAAATAATCTAAAGGGTTGTATGCTCCAGAGGGATTCAGCAATATGAGAACACATGCCCTTCCTTTGCCACTAGAAGAAGCTGGCCGTCTCTTAGTAATACTGACTAATATGCTACTAATACATTTTTCAAGAAAATTAAGTTAGAACTGGGCTATAATTTCTTAGAGAGTGAGTTGATTTTTTGACTGATGGTCATTTTACTGTATATTCTAAAGTAAGTGGTAGGTTGTTTTCTTCAAGGGATATATTAATTATCTCTCTGAGGAAAGGATTCCCTGCTTCTAGCTGATTTTCTTTGACAGGTTGAGCAAAAGTCGGAGTGACATCTGGTGGCTAAAATGCCCCAAATTTCTCTTTCTATTGTAATGCAAATTGAGAGAGTGGGGATTGCTTCTAGCTCCACCGTCACATGTTTTTGCTGATGAAGGGAGGTCATCTTGCATCCTTCTGTATGTGATGCTTCTGACGGAGACATCATCAGAACATGGAGTTGACATCTGGATTAACTTTGAATACAATCTGGGAAAAGGAAGGAATCATTTGGGTTTGCTAGTACACTCTCTTGGTCATAATTAAGAAATATTGAAGCTAAAAAAGAAATCTTTACTTTTTTTTTCTTGGGAATTAAAAAGAATGCAAAAGGATTTTATGCCAAACTCTAGCCACTATGTCTAGACATAATTGTCCAAGTGTTGCCTTTACTCAACAGTTTTTCAAATTTCTTTTGGACCTCTGAAGACATCAGTAAAGAAGACATGAAGATACCAATATCTGTGCCTTTATGTAAAGCTTTGTTTTATGAAACCTTGTTACCTGTGGTAGGACATGATCTGAATGTAGATTTTCCCAGTTCTGTTGGCTAAAAAGGAAAGATTGTGTCAGGGTGCTATTGTAATCCTGGAAATGTAGGTTCTTGTATTTTTTTGGAAGGACCAGATGGAACCTAATGAGTCTAAAAGACTTGTTTGTGCTGGAACTTGTAAATCTCAAACTCAAGCTAGATCATAAACATGAATGTAGAAACTGGCTGTTAAAGACTGAAAATGTTGAAGACTGAAAATCTGTGGTCCTCAAGTCAGGCTTTGGCAAAATCATTGTCCCGTTGGTCAGCAGTTTCACCAGTTCTGACAGAACACTATGTGAAAACGGGCAGTGACCATCTACTTGTAGGTTGAGTAGAATATTTTATATTTGTTTTTAATATCCCAAAGGGATTCTCTTCTGCACTGAGGGTGGGTGGGAGACAAACAGCTGTGCTGCTGCTGCTGTTGTGTGGTCTAGGAATGTGTGATAATGATGAGCATCAAGTATGTGAGTAAGCAGTGGAATCAATGGTGTCTCTTCCAGTTTTTATGTTGCTGGAAGGTGGTGAGTTTGTCTAAGATCTGGAGTGTGGAAAATAGCATTTTGACTGCTGATCTCTTATTGATTAAAGCAATTATAACATCTAATTTGTGTTCTACATCAGTTTGAGCTCTTGTTACGATGAATGTATTTGAAACGCGCTACATCCATGTGTGGCATCTTGTGTTTAATTTGTCCTTTCTTAGTACTGGCACTATGTAAGAGAGTATCGTTTGTAGAGGTAGCATTGGGAATTAAAGGACATGGCAGATTTCATTGGTAAGACAAAATTCTGACTCCTTTTAAATGCTGAACAAGGGTTATTTGGGAATGGAAAATTCTATATTGATCATAAGTTAGTATACAAGGAAGTTAACAAATCTGAAGCTTATTATTTCCTCATTTTATCTAGTCTATTTTCAGCTCTAAAAGAAATGTGTGGGAGCTGTGCTTCAAGAATATGAATTTAAAATAATATATTGGATATATATTTCATAGGAAATAAAGAGTAGATCCTATAGACTGCAGATTTGCTCTAAAGATTTTAACAAGCACAGAATAACTGACATTCAGGACTGTCTGCATTCTGCTCCTTCTGTGTTCTTCTGGTTCCACCCTCAATGCAACGCAGAATTCCCATTTGCTAGTAAAAATATTTCACTCGATCTGCAAGTAAATGTAGGCAAATCTTTTTAATGTGTTTTGAAAGAAACAGCTTTTTATGGTGAGGGTAAAGCTGCTGACCAATATGCTGTTGCTTTGTTAATGCCTCATGTCTTAAGGGACCTCAGATTCTATGCCCTCGTAATTCCCTTGATACCTCGAGTCACAAAACCCCAGATTTGAATTTTAATGTAGCATGTCTCATCACTAGGAAAGGGATTCTGATAGTCTTACTGAGCTTTAGTGTTTCACGAATCTGGTACTGCTGTTCCTCAAAACGTACTTACTGAATCGCAGCATTTGTACATCAGATTTCAGCCAGCTTTTTGATAAACTTACTTTTTCACCAGTCCTTTGAGGATTAAGGTGCTTCCCAGAGTGTTAGAATCTGTGCATAGAGTAATTCCAACTCCTGTTCTGGTGAGTTCAGATGTTTCAAAAGCCCTGCCAAATGTAATAAGGTCAAGTATTTTGGATGGCATGTTTCCTATCAGAGAATGATCATTTTTTTATGATCTTAAGGCCTCAGATGCATTCTACTTTTGGTTTTCTCATTTCGGTAACATTGTGTGTCCTAGTAATAGTCTTTATTATTATCTAAAAATAGTTGTTTGTAATAATAAATCAGCATAAATGTTATTCCATTGTCTCAAAAATTTTAATGGATGGCTAAAATAGAACCGGAAATATAAGTGTAAGGAGCCTCAAGGGATGTTGAACCATGAAGAAGAAGAAGAATCTGAGAGAAAAATATGGTATTCTAATAGCTAAAAAGTGGCTAGCCGTTTTGTGTTTTGGTATTCAAGCATCCCATTTAAAATACTTTTTTGAAGGGCCTGAGCTTCAGGACTTCTTTTGAAAGTAGGGTTTGCTAATGCCCGAGTACCTTAGGTATTCAGCATCACTAGACACTTAAGAGAATGTAGGGCTCAATGCACTGCGCAACAGAGAAACCAAGAAGTATTGGCCCATATGCAATCTGTTAGCCCACAGCAAATACAAGGTAATTTTACTTAGCTCACGATGAGAGAGATTTAATCTAAGCAGAATGATTTAAGATTTTCTGTATTATTAACATGTTTCTGTGGATAGTTCAGGGGCTTGGCTGACAAAAAAGCAACCAAAATTCAACAAGTTACTTAATCTTTGAGCCAGTGGGCCAATAGGTGGCAACATGGAAAACTGGTTGGACATGCCTAGGTATAAGTTCACAGATTTCAGAATAATTATTTTTAAGGAATCACTAAGCATGAAATGATATTTTCATGTGTGCCCTGTGAAGAAAGTGATAAAGTATGTTGCTGAAAGTACAGAGAAACTTAAAAGAATTGTTGCATTGTTGCACATTCTCCTTTAGCTGCATTTAAGATTGGTCTTGCTGTCAGTGGTTTAATGCATCCTGAAGTTTTTTGCTCTTTCTGAATAAAAAAAAAAAAATACAACCTCAGTGTAGCTTTCATTGTAGTTATTGCTGAGAAGCTAAACAATGGAGTCTAAATAGAACGTAGAACAATCTTGTAGAAACTTTTTAAAAATTAACTTTTGTTTCTGAGTTATGAGACAAACAGGATAAGCCAGTGTTAGAAAGGAAAAATGGAGCCAATAAAGAGGGTTTCTGATTATAATAGCTGGTTTCTGTTTAATATCATTGAGCAGGATGAGGTTTTGCAGAGTTTCTCATGGAAATAGCATCCACAGTACTAAAATGATTACCTCATTCTTAGTACCAGTGCCAAGCACTTAGCCCCACCGTGAACACACGGGGTTGATTTTCAACATGAAACAAGCCAGAAGTGTGGAATGACATTTTCAGGTGACAGTTATGGTTCTATTGCCTGTAATTAGCACCTCTTAACATGCAAACCTGCCTGTGCCTTTTCCAGGCTGTTGAAGCTCAAATACGAAGTTTTGGACAGACCCCTTCCCAACTGCTCATAGAACCACATCCTCCAAGAAGTTCTGCCATGCAGGTGGTAAGTACCATATTAACTCTTTGTGACCTGCCATTTTCTTCACTTCGTTTGCTATCTTAAAGTTACAGAACTGGCCACTTCGCTTTGCTTTTATGTGGTCATGGAATTGTGTTATTAAAAACAGCAGATGAGTTACAATTTTGTAGGACTGAGAGTGTATGCAGTGCTTAACTATTATTTTATTTATTGCTGAAAGGATTGTATTGATTTCTAGTACAGACCTTTTTTGTCAGTGTAATCTAGGAACACTTCATCAGTTGATTTTGTTAATACCATACCTGTACAGGTGATAGCCAGTCATCATGGAGACAATTTAGTTAATCTTTGGCAGATTCCCCAAGAAGCATGGATTTAGGAGGTGGAAGTTCCTTGTCTTTTCCCCCAGGCATAGGTTTTCCTCTAAAACCAGGATTACCAGGAATTCATGAGCTGAAACTTACATAGCAAAGAATGTGACTAAATGTGTTTTGCAGTAAAGCTGGGGTGATAAAATCCAGGCAGTGAGCATTAACATGCTTTCCCTTTTACCTCTACTTGTGTCTAATATAATTTTATTATACAAACTATTATTTTATTACTGATTACTTTCCATATCATGTTGTGTGCAGTCCTTGGGTCTAAGATATCATTTGTGTTGTCATAGATCCAGAACTAAGTATGTTAAGTGATACTCTGACGAGTGAAGCAAATGGTCTGCTAATTCACAAGTTTTTCAAAAGGTTACATTCTCTTATTGTTAAGACGGACATTTTACACTGAAATTAAAAAAAAGACATTTTCTTCTTGCATGTTCCATAAGACATGTGTCCTATGGAGTCAGACTAAGATTATTAGATTAAAAACACACCTGAAGTGCAAAAGGTTTTAGAAAAAATTACACACAGATCTGAGAAGTTTCCAAAGTAGTTTACAAACCTTGTGATGTAGGAGTCCAAGAAACGTGAACTTTCTTGTCCAACTGAGCTACTAGCCTTTGTCAAATATTTCACGTGCTGTATGTGAGACATGCTCAGCTGACTTCCCCATATCCCCACCATCCTTTCTGCAGGCAGTACATACTACGCTTTGACAGCTGTGCTGTAGACATGCCCTGGGATCTCATGTACTGGATGGACAGAGCTGATTGTGCTGATTTGTGATCTGCTGGCCCATTGCGCCTCCCACGTAGTGTCCCAGGGCTGCAGACCACTGCAGTGACTTGTGTGTGCAACCCACGGGGCTGTCTTTCAGAAGAGCCCTGTTAACAGGGATGTTGAGGAGTCCAGGTGCCCTCATCATACAGTTCCACTCCATGTGTGTGTCCATCTGTTATGGTGCCGTGCACTAGGCACTTGCCCTAATTTAGAGGGATTTGTTTCAAGAAGAGGAGGAACTTGAGAAGTTGATTGTTGATGTGTTTGTCAGACCCATTGTTATATAAATGAATTTGATGCCAGGAAGCAGTTTGTGTGGTTTTATCATAATATTTTTCATGATGCTGAGTTAGTAAAGATTTAGTATGTAATGGAAGACGTTAACTTCTATGAAGTTAACTGCTTCTAACTCCTGTGGGTTTTTTTGGGCTGAGGTACACACAGAAAAAAATCTCCTAGCTATCCACTTGCTTTGACCAGCTTTGTGGTTATTAATACACGATTTTATAATAGCACTATATTAAGTGATTTTAAAAGTAGTATTCCTGGAGCTGAAATACAGTAAGGATGCTTTTCCTGTCACAATTTTGAATTTTTTCCAGTTGTATTATTTATTGAGTTTTTGTGTGTGTGCATGTATGCATGAATACAGCCGAATTGAAAGCTACCACGTGCTGTGTTAAGTGCACAAGCCATAATATACACCAGGTGTAGTAATTAGCAGTCACACGAAGGCTGCCTATTTGTCTGGTTTTGCTGCTGTTGCTGTATCCCCTTGTGTTTTCAACCATCAGATAGCTGGATTTAATTGAGGCCACATCAGATGAGGCATTACTGACACCTTTAATTGAATGAGCATCCAGGGAGGATTAACTCATAATATTGATTGGCTTTTAGCCACTTGCTCAGAAGGGTGTCTGGGTAGCTTATTAGTTGCTTTTATTTACACCTTTATGCAAAGACTGTAAATAGGAATTCATAGAGCAATATGTTTTTCTAAGTACTCTTAATAACTTTTTAAAAAGGAGTGATAATAAAAATGCAAATGTATTTAATTTTTTTATTAGTTCTGTATAAATATACATTAAATGTATGCACTTACATACACATATATGTAATGAAATATTGCAGATGGAAAATAGCCAAGAACACTTCATTAATGTCCTAATTCAGTTATTAAAAAATTACAAATACTAGAGCGATATGGCCACTGCTGACTAGGGTGGTTGTATTTCTACATCTTAGTGGAGTTGGGTTTTTTGGGGATTTTTTTTTTTAGGTACACCACACAATCACAAACCCATTAAGTTTTGCTTTTCCTCTTTATGTTTGATATCCAGATTTAAGATCCTCAATATTTTGTTTCTTCATTTGCAGTGTTGTTAGAGAGCTTAGTTAAAAAGTTATTAAACTTTTCAACTTATTAAATTAAAAAAATGCAACCTAAAAATACTATGTTGAAAATGGGAGTCTGGATTCATTCCCTTCTTTTAGTATTTCTAGAAACAAGGCAGGATAGTGTCTGCAATCACGTCCACTTTATATTCTTTACAACTGCATTTAATTATGTTTGTCCTTTGAAACACATTTGCAGTGAAGTCTTCTACTTTGCATTCATAAATCTTATTTTTGTACACCAGAAATATATACAGGACATATATCTAGTGTATGTGTGTATCTGTTTATTTTAATGTGCTTTCATGTTCTCATCTGGCTTGTAAAGAATTGCAGTCTGCCAATTTAATGCAACTTGAGACAATCTCTGGGAGCAGGAATTTCTTTTGCTCACTTTTTTTTTTTGTTCCCTCCTAGTTTGGTGTTGCTTTCCTTGACATACTATCTCTGCAGATATGAAAGAGAATTCTTTTGGCAGACATAGGTGATTGGAAACTTTTAGTTTAATCTGCTGTCATCTCTAGCAAAGTTTGTATACAGAAACCCTGTGTTTAGCAAGGCCCTCACATTAATAGTGTACATGACAGTTTTTTCTACCTAAAACGGTTGTTTCCACAAGCCTGTCCACTATTATTGCATTTGCTTTTCACTGCAGTTGCTACTGGATCTTGTGTGTTTTAATCCAATCTTCCTTCTCTTGTCCTGTCTTCTTTTCTCCTCCCCATGTTTTCTTTTCCTGTGTATTTGGGTTCTTGTTGTGTGCACTCAACAGTATCTCCTCCTGCAGAGTCCATTGATGTTCACAGACCAAGCTCAACAGGACGTTATCATGGTTCTAAAGTTCCCATCCAACTCCCCTGTCACTCATGTAGCAGCCAACACTCAGCCTGGTCTGGCCACACCTGCTGTGATCACAGTTACTGCAAATAGGCTATTTGCTGTAAACAAGTGGCATAATCTTCCTGGTAAGTAAATTGAAGTAAGTAGCTAAAGAACCCACTGCCATCAAGCAGTACTTCTGCTGTCTGTTTCAAAATCTGTTGCAGAGCTGTTTTAAATTTAAAATGTGAAGAGCAAGTCCAGTTCATTGACATAGCATGCTCTTCCCACGTTGACATAGTTTTTCTCCGTAAAAAGGTAATCTAAACTATTGTGTAGTAAGATGTGTAGCACATAAAAGGTTTGTAGCAACAATATATTGCTTTCCAGGCCATCAGACACTATGCAGGAAGACAAAACCAGTATATCACTATTTGATCATAATAAAGTCACACTGTTCCTCTTGAATTTGTTTTTCAGTCAGATGGAAGCCTGAACCGTATCATGTCAAAGACAAGTTTTAAAGCATGTAGAACTTTTTTGAAATCTTTTCTGCCATCTTTTTCTAATTGATTATGAACACCATATTCTAATGTTAAAGCCACCCAATGAGAATTAGAAGATAAAGTATATGGGAATTCTGTATCTTCGGTAGCTTAAATATCCCAAAGTTATTAGGTGCTCATGTATTTGTCAATATGGAAGGAAAGCAACATCTCCATTTGCGTAGCAAGCAATCAAGTTTATTTTCCTTTAAAAACGTGTTGGACTTGCGAATATAGTCATTCTGTTTTCAATTCTAATGCTCTCTAATCTTAAAGGCACTCATCTTCCTTTCCCTGACTATGACAGTCTCAGGCCTAGGGTGTGAAAGGTAGTTTATTTTAGTGTTATGCAGTAAATCTGGTAAAACGCTTTTCAAGAAAGGGCAAAAAGACCTTCAACTCAAATAACTTAAATGGAAGATACTTGCATCAGAGTAATACTCACATCACTGAAATTCCTACTTAGAAATTTGGACCCATGGCCTTTGATTACATTTTGAAAAAAGCCAGATAACTCCAACACTTTTTCCTAGTTCTTACAAATGACCTCTCATCATTGTACAAATAGAAACTTCTATGTATTATTTCACATAAAAAATAAAGGTGGGAAGGAAGGGGGGAGGGGAGGCTTGTCTACATAACAAGTTGTGAGCAAGAACTATTTGCAGGGTGCTTGACATTTGTTTGAAAGGAGGATGGCAATATCCTTTCATACCTCGGATGTATGACCTTGGACATAAAATATTCAAGACTTTTAAAAAATAGCCTTTGTGGACATACAACAGTCACGGGAAAAGAAGAGGGTCTAAAGTGGTAGGAGTTGATTTTGATTTCCCTGTAAGTCTGCTGGTTGGTGATCTGTGAGCAAGCAACCCCTTGTTGAGTGTAGTAATCAACTGTTGTGAGTTGAACAAAACCTTCAGAATTTAGTTTTTCCCTCACCTTTGAAAGGGAGAACATTAAGCTGTGCTTTTGAGTCACTATTTTTTCATTTAGAGGTGTTTTACACTTGTCTTACCTTTACAAAGAGCTCAAGAAAACTTAAAATTCAAGAGAGACAAAAGCCAACCAAACAGAAGCAATACCCAACAAAAACATACCTCATGCCACCTCTTTGAAAGCACACTGATAGCTGCAGGCTGTTAATGGAGAACTATGCTTAAGATATCTGGGTATGGACTCCTGAGATGAACCTTCACTATTGTTGCCTTCAAAGTTTATACCAAAATGAGATCTGCTAGGATGAGAGGGCAGGTATCATTACCATGCCGTATCTCCTGCTGTGGGCTTAGCATTGTCTTTACTAATGATAATCACGATAAAAAGTTAAGTTGCCAAGTGACCAGTTGTCACTTGTGTAATTAAAAATCTCATTCCTAGTGGCTTTGCTGACATCTTAGGGCACTGGTACCCAACAGAGTGCCTCCATTTTGTCATGTGGATTTCATATTTTGTTCTGTATTAGTGTTTCATTGCAGCAGAACTTTGACTTCCCAATTACTTCTGAAACCCTTCTTTTGATAGTAATTTTTATATTAAACTATGGACGGTAGATACAAAAATCATAGGTGTTAAGTATTCAGACATTATTTTTTGTTCTGCTTCCAAGAATGTCTTGTGGGCTGTTGGGGAGGGGTGGGGAGATTGCTTGCTTGCTTGTTTGTTTTTAGTAAGGTTGTAGGAAAAAAAAGGCTGCTTTTTTTTAAGGCTGAAGGAAAATTCAAGAGGTAAACATTTCACCAGTATGCCAGGTGCCCAGATGAAATGTAGATCTGCAGAATTAATATATTAACTTCTATGCAAACTTGCAAATAAATGGTTTTTGGTGATGGATGAATCCTTAAATACTGGATGACTATGACATTTCCCTGTCTGCATCATAAACTGACTTTTTAAAAAAATGTCCTTTGTGCTTCACTTGTTCAAAGCAGTGCTTTAAAAAGTAAAGAGGAAAATAGTATTTGCTACAGTCAGCAGATGGTTGTCACATTTTGTTTTCAGTGCTCTTTACCACTTAATTTTGTTTTGTTGCGACAGGAGAGGTTGCCAGTAAAGCATCTGCTAGAGCTTATGGCTCAGGACCGGAGCTGCTGCTGATGGCATACATTCAGAATAGCACTAATCTAAAATAAATGTTTAATAAGCAGGCTGTGAAAGCACCTGGAATTTTTTTTTAAATTCAGTTGATGCAGAAGAATCTTGAATAGTTTAAAAAAAAAAACACACATAGCTTTAATTTATAAAATATATGTGGCTTCATGTATTAAAAAAAAGCAGAGTTTTAAAATCTTCTTTCCTGAATTCCAGCTCATCAAGGTGCTGTACAAGACCAGCCTTACCAGCTGCCAGTGGAAATCGATCCTCTCATAGGTCTGTCACTTCCTTCTCTCTTTGCGATTCATTAAGCTCTGTATGGTGGCCCTGAAGTGTAGATTACGGTTGTTTTTCACTTGCTGGTTGCTGGGAATGGAATTTTCCTGATAAACCATTTGCATGCAAATTGGAATGCAATGAGCTGTGGCTATGCTGGTATTTCATCAACTCCCCCTCGTTGGTTTGCCTAATTTGAACAGGCCTAGGACGCGTGTCAGTGAAAATTAATATGGATGCTGTAATAATGTGTGATTGAGAATGTGCATGAAGTACTGTCAGGATAATATTGGATCTTTTCATCACTCAGACTTGTTGATGAGCAGGAGCGAGGCACGTTATGATGAATTGGTGCACTGGTAATGTGATGGAGCTCCTTTGCTGAGGAAATTTTCATAATAACAGTGGGGTTCTTAACTGCACCATGTTGTGAAAAATAAAACCATGGTGCCAGGGTTTCATCATTAAAGGAGATCAATCCTTTCTTCATAGACCTGCTGTTCAGGCTGAGGGGATTAATGTGTAATTGCAAAGCGGTTTCAAAGTTGAAATATATTGCCCACTGTTTTAGTATTGAGATATTAGTATTCATTTTTCAAGGGTATTGCATCTTTTGATCAGCATCACTAGTTAAATTTGTGTATGTTTTTCTTGTATTAAAAAGGGGTGGAGAAATGTCTCTCTCTTATTTAATGACTCAGTGTAATAGATTAATGACTTTTTATTATAGAGGTTTATTATTTATATAGAGATGATTTTTCTATTAGCATGGTTAGAGTTTGGTCAGTTCTTTCATTACAGACGCAACTTTGGGGAGTGCATACTTGGACTATGGTTCAGGAGCTTGTAGCATGGCAAATGGAACCTTGAACATGATCAAAAAGGAAAAACTCAAACAACCTAACCCCAAAATACAAACTAGTTCAAGGAGCAAAGACAACAGGATTCCCTCCCACCCCCTCCAGTGCTATTAGACTTCAAACTTAGCTGTTTTTTAAACTGTCCATTTCAGGATCATAGTTTAAAAGCGAAAGAAGTGAAGTGGCCAATTATAGAATCATGGAAAAATCAGAGCAAAAATGAACTTGCCTGGATAGGTTAGAACGACAGGTCTGTCAGCCAGTGAGAATTAATTTCAAAACTAATATGCATATCACAGTAGAAACTGCATTGTATTGCTCTGTAGATACAGACTGTTGCTGTGTAGCCATTTTTGCTGGGTAAGCTCTATGATAATTAAATCAGGAACAGTGTGAGTATATTAAACCATTTTATAGAGCTGATAAAATTAAAATGTTTTCCCAAAGTTTTTAAAATCAATTCCCATCTGCATAATGCAATACTTAAAATTTATAATGAGGAGGACAAGTGCTGTAACTCTTCTTTCCTTCCTTAAGTAGATTTTATCCAAAAAATATTTGGAGCAGAAAATGTATATTATGCTTTAAAACCTGCTATCAAGTAGGTCTTAACAATATAAATAAATATCACAGCAAAAAAACCAAAGTCACATTGGGCCTGTCTGATGATTTTTCTACATATTGTGAAGAACATGAGGAAAGAAATAATTTTTTATTTTCATTTGCATTTTTCAAAATTTTAAAGTTGTAATTCCATTTTCAGGCTTGCCTTTAATTTACAAAATGCTTTGACTTTTGTTTGGTATAAACACCTTTAAAATTAGTGTTCACAGTTCTGAAAAATGGTTTAATATTCTCTTCATACAATAGATCTCAAATCAGCCTTGTGATTACATTGGACACAGTTTGAAAGGTTTAAGGCTTTCTTTGTCACTGTTAAGTAGCATCATTGGGTATAAGCAAGTAATTATGTAGATAATATTAAAGGTTTTTAATTGTGGCTAGACACATTTACCTAGGAATGGCACCTAAGAGAACCACAAAATTACACTTTTATGGTTATAGAGGAATCTTGTTGCTGTCTTAGTCATAAGGAGGGATTCCTGCTGTCCTCATTTTCCAGATGAACAGGAAGATGTAAAAACGCAATGTCTGATATGACATAGATCCTAGACCTCTTTTTGAGGTGGAGTTTTTGGGAGGTCTTATCCACACTGAATGAGTCAATCTGCATGGTTTTTTGGAGGGTTTATTTGCCGTTATTTCATCATACAGAACACTTCACTGTGCATTTATAATGTGTTGTTGTTACTCTTTGAGTGGTCCCAACAGCAGTCAAGACCCTGTTATGTGTTACCTGCAGAGCAAGCGGCAATACGTTGCTAAATTATTTGCTTCCCACGTGGACAAGACAGTATCAACATCTTAAATGCAGCAAAAGCATAAATAAATTAAGGATTTGATGTAGAGTCAATGGAATCCCAAGGAATTGGAAACCCAAGGCTTAGGGGATAGCTAGACCGTGAAAATGGAAGGAAGTTAAAGAAAAAGAGTAAAGAAGCACACAAGAGCAGGACAGAGACGCATCCGAGGACCACCTGGAATGGCAGTAATGCTGCTCTGAGCAGTCAGCAGGCAAACCCAGGTCCAGGAGAACTTACCTGCCTGGGATGGGAGTCAGGTTCCCTCGGGAACAAAGCACATTAAAAGATCTTCCTACACTGTAGGATTTTCCATGATATATATCTATAGGGACCTATACGTATATCTATATGTGCACACATCAATTAGTAAGGGCAAAATATAATACGAAGAATGTGTTCATTGATTGATTTCTGTCCATTTGGTGGGTTCAGAATGCAAGATTATCTGGGGACATAATACAGCAGGTGGTCGAAGTGGGGTAAATATTTTCTCTCAACCCTAAAGGAGATTGTGGAGATAAGCCGATTAATTTTTGTGAAATGCTCAAAAAAGTGTGCAATAATAGTGATTTTTACTGCAGTTATTCTTTTTTTAAATTACAATGCTTGCAATGAAATACAACTTGTGTACAATTTTGTAATTATAATTCCATTGTCTGCTGCATTTGAGCCACTGCATAGCTCATCTACATATCTATGTACTGTCTTACAATTACATGCCCTTCATTTGTTTCTTTATTTTTAATTTCCTATACTGGCAGAAGGGGGAAAGGAAACATTATGTTTTTATGTATCGTTCCTTTTTTCAATCTTTCTTTCATATTTGTCAGTTGCGTTTGACTTAAAATAGAAGAAATACCTTCTTTAGAATACATACTACAAGGGATTAGCATTGTTCCCAGAAGTGTAGTGAGTATTTCATAGTAAAAGTAGAAAGAAAATGTCCCAGCCACAAGAAAAAAAGTAACAGCCATGAGGAATTGTTTTGGTGTGAATGTAAGTTTCTAAAATGTGCTTTTGTTCTGTGAATATGGATGCTAAACTTTCTTGGATCTGTGTGTCTTTCTGTTCAGCCAGCAATACAGGTATGCACAGAAGGCAAATCACTGACCTTTTAGACCAAAGCATTCGGGTACATTCCCAGTGCTTTGTCATCACCTCTGATAATCGTTACATCTTGGTCTGTGGCTTCTGGGACAAGAGTTTCCGAGTTTATTCTACTGACTCAGGTAATGTATTTTTAAAATATGGGAATAGCCTGAAAGATTTTTCTGTTCATCATCAACCTACTGTTTCAAATAAAGAATGAGGGCTGAGGGGAGAAAGTGGAGTATGTATTTATTCCCTTATTAATAGTATTTGTCAAATCTTTTCTTACCAACTGCTACTGTGTATTGTATGCCATAATTTTTGTGGAATGATGGCAAATGTAAGACAAGGAGCTCTTGTTTAGCCATAGCATCACACTTCAAATCTATACAACAGGCGTGCCCATTCTTACACTGTAGTTTCCACAAGTAAATGAGTTTTTGTGAAGCTTTGCATAACAGGAGAATTAATTGTTCTTAAAGTGCTTACTTGAATTTAACTCTGGCTGGTTTTCAGCACCAGAGAATTTTTTTTGAGGAAATACAGGCAAGCACCACAGAATAAGAACAAGAAGGGAAGTCTTGAAATCTGGTGAAAGAATACTTATGAAAGCCTTTGAAACTTATACTATAATAGAAAAATTGATTTGGAGCCACTGAATTCTTTCATATAACATAAACTGATCGATATAATGGGCAGCAGTTAAATTAGTCTGTCGGCTGGCATGTGTCCAAACTGTTGAAGTCATGCATGTGTCATGCTAAATAGAAAAGAATCTTTCAATGTAAGACCTGCAGGAATTTAAAACCCATGGAGCCCCAGAAAAAAACAGGTATGATTTTTTCCCTTTCATTATCTTATAATGGGAATAGCAACCTCACTGCAAGGTATTTCTTTGGGATTAATGATCCAGTGTGCTTAATATGTGTGTGCCATCAAGCTTTCCAGTAGGTTATTAATCCCTAGGGACTATCCTGCATGTTTGTCATCATTTCTTAAATATATTATTTAATGGAGTTCTTCACACTTGGCAAACCAAAATATTTAACAAAACAGGATGGTCTTTAATGAAAATCTGCTAAGACTAGATCTCATGGCATATTTTAGCATATCTGTCATTTTTGCAATTTTAAGGCCTTAAGTGTAAAGGAGAAGTTCCATTTACTTCATAATGACTGCCTAGAATTCATTATACAGATATTTTGTTAGACCCTTCTTAGTTTAATTTTCTCTTTGATGAAAATAAATTTACATAAAACTGTGAATTTAAAGGAGATCTTCAGAAAAGTTAGCTAGCAGAAATAAATATTCAGTATATATTGTTGATTTATATGAATAGAGAACTAATTCTTTTATGTCAAAGGATATATTTTATTTTACACCTATGGAAGGAACTTGCATGATTTTGGTAGCTTTGTCCTGTGTCAGTCTGAACTACATATAGGTGATTAAGTTATGTCCTCTGTGTGTAAGTCACATACACCAGGCATCTCGTCACTACCATAGCTAATTATGGTATAAACCAAAATACAGTTGTCAAAAAAATTGCCGAAGATTTGTGTCTTCTGTGTGTCTCCTGTTTGTCAATATAGCAAGTCTAGCTCTAGCTTAAATCAAGTGAATGCAGATGTAGTTTATCGGCAGAACAGCAAGGGAAAAAGATGATATGATCAGTAATGCGTAATGGCAAGTGATCACAAGTGTTGAATGCAATTGTATTTTAGCACTTAACACAAAAAGGATACCTTTTTCCTATTAGATTTTTGGGTTTGTTTGGTTTTTTAAACAGGAAATATTTTTAACATAAATCATGGGTTCTCAGCGCAGCTAGTATAGCAGAAGCACAATAAAACCTTCCTCCAGCAGTGGGAATGATTTCTAGATGGCTTTTTAGATTCAGTAGTACAGAGACTTGAGTCTTATTTTTCTTTTAATTATTCGTAGCACAGCTGTCAAATAAAACATTAACTAGAAAATTTGTTCTGTCAAAAAGGGATTTCTGAGTGCATATGGTAAAGTTTGATATTACTGTACAGAGAGGACAACTCATATTAAAGGAAACAAAAAAGTTGAGGAACTCTTAGAGATTAATGATTTTTTTTTACTAATATGAAAGAGCAACAAACACTTATTTCTTGTTTTGATGAAATTGATTGAACCTTAGCTGCACAATAACAAAGTAAAACTAACAAGACAGTGCAGCTACATGAGCAACTGTCAAACAAATGGCCTTGAAAAATGTTTGTTTTCTAGAACAAAACCTATAAACATAGAATATAATTGAAGGAGAGATCTCTATAACTCAGCAATGTTTATAGCATAAACTTGTGTTCTAAAAGTATAAATCACCTCAGGTAGTTGAACACCTATGGCTATACAACTGAAAAATGTATCACATAATTAAATTATTCTCAAATCTAAGCCATGTAATTGACAATTTGAATTTTCACTTGGTAAGATGTTTCCGTGTATTGCCAAAATGAGCTTACGTAGTCCGTGAGTGTATCACTGCTCCTAGCTGTGAATTCAGTAAGATTTTTTTTCTGGTTAAATCTGTTGACTGGTCAGCATCTGAAGCAGTTAGGTGACCCTGTGGCACAAATTAAAGCCCTGGTGTGCAGAGATGACTGCTGTAGGCGGCTATTACAGACTCACAGAAATGAGTGGAAGACCTGACCCCTGAGTTACTTTCCCTTCTGATACAAAGTAGTTCTGCACAGTAAGTGTACTTTCCCGGGCTTTGCCCCTTCCAGTCAGAAAAGGCTCATGTGACAGTGCTTCATTTCACAGGTTCTTTTGGAGTGTTATACTTGCCTAATAAGTTTTGTCAGTGTTTTATTTTAAACCTGATTTCCTTTAATCATCATGTTGTTCTATTTTTTCTTCATGTAGTAATTTCCTTTTTTTGTAGATACTCATACCTTGTGAGTTTTTCTTCAGGTTTTCTCCACTTTAATGCAATTACCTTTTTGATCTTCTATTATAAGTCAGGCTGTTAAAATGAATTTTGTTCTTTCCTCAGATCCACTCTCAAGTCTTTTGTTAGTGTTATTTAGTGGCTGGATATGAATACAGTAGTGCCTTTGTACTGCATGGAAAGAGGGCTATGAAATGCATCCTACTAGCCGTATTCTACACTAATTGTTTTTAACTGATGCACCAAAATATTTCATTAAGATGTGCTTAATTTGAGTCCCAACACTATTTGTGTTACTGACTTGTCATGTTACTAGCTATTATTCTTTAACACTTTTCAGAACATTTTATTTCAGGTACAGTAGTTTGCATTTCCTATTTCTTTTTTGGCCTGTTGTTAATCCTTCCAAAGCCTTTTCCCCTTCTATTTTTCCCCATTCTTTATTCAGGCCAAAGCACAAAAGGATTCATGGTCATTTGGGCTAAGGAATCTGGAGTCACACATTAATGACATCACACATCACACTTCCTTGTGTCATTAGATGCAGAATTTGGCCTGACCCGTGTTACCTGAATGGGCCCAGTAGGCGCATAAGAAATGTGTGTATCTTTTGTTCTGTCTCTCCAAGATCTGCAGTTGCTAGGCTTCAGCAAATCCAGTGAGGTGGATGTTAGTGCTTACATTCTCATTTCATAGGATCACATATGCTGCTGGTGGATCTAGAAACCAGCAAGGACATACGACGTTTTCTGTGTAGGAGCCAGCCTCTGGCAGGGTGGTCTGGCAGAGATCTACTGTGGGTGACCTTACATGTGTTTCCTCTCCCACATGCAAATCCACTATTCATGAGCATCCAAATTTACATTCTTCTGAAAATATTGGCCTGGTTAGTTAAGGTTAAAAAGTCAGTCATATTCATGTTTATACAGACTCTTGAATGGCACGTTTCTAACTGCCTAGGCTTTCCTTTCTTTTTAACATTTATGTCTCTGTCAGTGGTACAAGCATTTGTCTTACATGCAGTAGGTAAGAGAGTTTTTTCCAGGTCTGTCTTCTGAGGTTTTTTGGACTTTACAGAAGTGCTTAAAAGGGCAGCATGCTGGTTGAAGTAATTGGCAAGTGTGTAAATGGTGATGGAAAAACATGGCTACAAGAGTAATTCTTCATCTAAATCTCCTTTTCTCTGTTTAAGGAGATGCTCAGAGGCTGCATATGGTATATGCACTTACGTGCTCTCACACTACCATTTTCTTCTGGATCCTAAATGTTCTGTAGCTTCTTCTGATTCTGTTTCCCACATCGTCATCAGATTTGCTTTTTTACAGTTACTTTAATCAGTAAACTTACCTTAAACTTACCTTAAAAGAGAATCACATCATGTTTTCTGTCTGTAAAGTGCATGTAAACATACAGAATTAAAAAAACAAAACAAAACAAACAACCTTCTGGCAGGATTGGCCTTGGAATAATGTAGAATATTTATGGGCTGTAAATATTTTTTGCATGGACTGTCTGGGCTACTGCACTTTTAAGTAAGTTGCTACCAAATCAAGAAAAAAGTAGTATTCTCCACTATAGTTCTTTTTGGAACCTTTTTTAAATAAAGAAAATATTTTCAAAATACTTTATAATGTATTTAATTTGCCTTAAAAAGAGTAAGAGCATTGTTTTAAAACAGTCAATTTTATGTGTTTCAGGTAAACTGATACAAGTAATATTTGGACACTGGGATGTTGTAACCTGTCTTGCTCGTTCCGAGTCCTATATTGGAGGAAATTGTTACATTCTCTCAGGATCCCGGGATGCAACATTGTTGCTCTGGTACTGGAATGGCAAAACCAGTATGGTTGGTGATAATCCAAGAGGTAAGCAAAAGGAGAAAGACCTGTTTTTTAAGGACATTGTGTAAAAATGGCTTGAGTGAACACTTTGCGTGACAAAATTTTAGGTATCATTAATGTCAAAGTACAGTGTTTCTTTTTTTTGTAGTTGTGATCAGTTCTAGTGTAAAGAATTGAGGGTAAACAGTGCTTGCTTTGCAGCACAGGTAGAACTAATTTTTAAAGTTACGGGATACTGAACATTACGAACGCATTTTTTTCTGGTCACTCAATTGGGAAGGAGTGGCTCTGGGAGTGAGAGAAGGGAACTCACTTTTTTTATTTCCTGTTCAGTCTGAGTAAATCTTTTCCTCTCAACATGACACTTTCATTAAATACCTGCATTTGAGTTGTTAAAACAGAAAAGACTACATGGCTCCACTGCAGACTGTATTCTATGCAACTAATCTTACGCATACAGGTTCTCACAGTGGCACCGTAGCTATTAATAGAGTTACACAGGCAGTGGATTTTAACTTAGACTAAGGTCATTGTAATGAGATGTGTAATGGCCTGAGCAGGACAATTAAGTGTAAGAAGGACGGACACGTGGGACGGATTAAAGAAGCAAGCTTAAAACTTTTTTCGTTTAACGCTCTGGTAGGGTGCTGTGTGCCTAATCCTGGCGCTCACGTACTAGGCATTTTAATTGGTTCCAGTGCAAGCAACAGGGCTCATACCACGTAACAAAACTAGTAAGTGAGAGTAACCCTGCTTCAGCCTAAATCAGTTTTAACCCCTCCCCACCCAAACTCACCTTGCGCTTCCCAAAGAATTTAATCTCTTCCATCTTGCACCATTCCCAGTAAATCCCAAATTCTTTTACTCATGAAGATTCTCTCTTTTAACTCATAATTTTCTATGGAAAACAACGAAACAGTATGACTGTTCAACCCTGCCGTGCCTGTATTGTATGACAGGAAAAGTAGAAAGTGATCTTGTTGTTATGCCAGTTTCACTCCACACAAAAAATTAATTCCTGATGCCCAAAGCAAAGAAGGTGGCAGACATGCAGCTTGACAAAAAGCCTGAGCGAGCCAGTTCACAGGAGTAAGAGCCTTTTGAGACAGCTGGTGTGGCCTTACATACGTGAATAGAGGGGCACATCATGGCTGGTGATGAACAGTAGTCCTGTTCTCCCTGTTCAGCCAAAAAGACAATGCCCTGAAGAGAAAGGATGAGAATCAGTGTATTCTGACTGTCTTTAGAAGTGTTTCTGTTAGGTTTTCTGCCATACGCTTAAGGTTTTCTCTGACCCTGTTTAAATACTGGTAAAAACATACCTGCTGTCTGCAGAGGACAAAATGGACATTTGGCAAACAAGAAGTGTTGTTATATCTGGCATATATTGCAATTATAACTGGCATACAATTTCATATAATGTAAAAAATTTCTGACATCTTCCAAATTAATAAGTTTACTAAAGTTGTGTGTTCCTTACTCAATCTCCTACTCGATCTGTTACTTAACTGGAATTGAATTTGAAAAAAAGAGGTGGTTTGCCTGAAATTGCATCCCATGAACAATTTTGAAGCAGCCCAACTAATTAATATCAGAATGAACATCGGAATTTAACTTGAAAATTGTTTGATGTTGACTGTGAAAACTATTCAAAAATTGCACAAGATACAGAAGTTCAGTTCACACAGTTACAGAATCTGCAGGCAGAGGATGAGAGCAAGCTATCCCTGTTATCGTTCCAACAGTCTGATTCAGGAGATGGCAGCTTTAGTGGGATGTGGCTAGCAGGGTTTTAGGAGCATCTTTAAATAAATATGGCTTTGGTTGAGGGACAAAATCTCTGTGAATACTTTACACATATTTTGTAATCTGTCAATTTAAAGAAAATGCAAACTCTGCGCTATTTTTGCAGAGCCTGTAAACTTGGAAACTTCAAAATGTCTGTGAAAGGAACATAAGAGCTTGACAGTCCAGTAAATCCTAAAGAGCAAAACTGCCCGTTTGAGGAGAAAACCCTAAATATTTTAGTGGTGTGAAGCAATGAACATTTGCAGGTGTCTCCTTATAGTGTTTTCAAGGCCTGCAGGTTCCCAGGCCTGTCCTGAGAAGTTCTTGTTGAGTATTTGCCAAGCTTGCCTGCTTTGTGAACAAGTCCTTGAGGCTATAGGCTTGTTTATGACCTTAATGGATCACATGCTGAGATTTTGTACCTAGTATCTAACTAAAATAGGTATATTTCGTTATAATCTGTTGACTGTCTTCTCTAATGCGAATTTCTAATGTATTAAAATTTTGCAGTTTTCAAAGTTAATACTAGGCTATTTTAACTACTGTTTTAAGTCAAACAACAGCTACCTGATAAGTCGCTTTGTTTACAGTCCTATTAAACTTGTACTTTTAGGGACATGCAATAGCTCCTATGTTTACTAGTTGTCATTATGTAGCTTTTTTTGTGATCCAGCATGCCTGGAAGCCTTTGTTACGAATTGGAATCTCATGGTACTATACATAGGCCTAGACATGTGTATAGTAAAAGACAGTTTCTGCTTCAAAGAGATGGTAATCTGGGGGGTTTAATTTTTCCCAGAAATAGCTTTCTATAGGCATCTCTGTTCAGTCAAATTTTTTTTGAAAAGGCAAATAAAAAGCTGTTTCTGCTTAGTTCTGATTTTGTCAGAAATGGAAAGCACCAGCAGACTTGTTGGGTTTTGAGCCCTGTTTACTGCAATGTAACTTCCATCCATTCTTGGGATGCTGGATATTTAACTTGTCTGATGTCTTTTTGTATTTGAAACTTATGATTTTTTTTACCTCAAAACATAGTTTATTCATGCTTTCAATGAGCACTATTCATTGAATTTTAGATACTCTCAAAGCTGATACTTCTTTCCTGTTTGTTTTTCCTCCGTTTAATTATCTCTGATTTCCATCTTAAAATGACTTCACAGCAACATGCATCCAGTTGCACTGTACCAAGTCATGATGCCAGAGTAGTTTCAACAAAAATAATCTAAACCAGGACCATTTCTTTCCTCCTTTCATAGTACCTGTTGCCTCTGATATACATCAGTCAGCAGACTAGTATGATCAAGCTATCCGAAATACTCTCCCATTGGGCACCCATTTCTCCACCAGTTTCATTTTATTTAGGTTCCTTTATCTGGTTTCGATACTTTAGGAAGCACTGAGCTCTTGAGCTGTGGCTGCATATATTCATGTTTTAGAATGGTACTTAACTCAAGCTGACAAGCCAGGTGGGCTATGGCATACGTGATAAGTAAGTGTTTTGTTTGATATTCTTTATCAAGGACAATTTTCTGACCAACTGGACTGTATGGAAAAATTCTTTACGTTTTTGGTTTAACAGAAGAAATATGTTACTGAAGTATTCATTATTTACATTATTTAATTTTTAACTTTTAAGCCAGCTTCTTAGAGAAATTATACCTATGCAGTCTCACTGTCTATTTAGTTTCTTCCTAATAATTCTCAAATGCATTGATCAATGTAAATGAAATTTGATGAATTTAAATCTCAAAGATATGAAATTCCTACATGGGACACATCTGCTGGAAACTATTTTTATTCTTCACAAAACAGCTTGATTAAATTTAGGTTAAGTCCTTTTTTCCTTCTCAAATTAAAACCTGAAATTCAAAAAATATTTCACCATGCTCTTTGATCAAATGTATTTTTTTTTCTTTCTAAATTAATTGTTTTTGAAAATGCAGAAGCATGGCAGTACTTCACTTTGGTGCACAGGCCTTTTCTGATGCAGAAATGTTTCTGCGGGCAATTTCTGACCAAGCCTAGGAATAATTCAGAACAGAGCAGAGAATCTGAAATAGTCGTATGCTTTAGAAAAGCCCTGAGCCATTTTAAGTTCATATTAATTAGCATAATTTACTGTGGAGATGTAAAGTCACTTTGCATACAGTAAGGGGCTTTTACTTTTCTCTCCTTGGCATGTGGCTTGCTTTGGGGAGGTGGGGGAGGTCGGAGGGAGAGGTTGTAAAACGCTCCCCTTGGCACCCCTTGAAGCCCATGTGTGATCTGTATCACAAGGTTGGCTTTTGCATATTTAGAGTCTCCGATCTAATGGCGAGGTACCGCTTGGAGATGTGACGTTGTGCTTCAGGACTTGTGTTCCTCAATTGGGTGGTAGCATACTGGGAGAGGGCGGAGTCCTTGCAGAAAGATGCCATGTTTTGCACTTGCCCAGCCTAATAGAGGTGGAGGGGAGGCGAGAGGTGGAGGGTGAGGGGAGGGTGTGATGAAAGCTGAGAGAAGTTATTTGCATACAAATGGTGTGCATCACTTCAAGATCCCACTCTCGCTTTGAAGCTCAAGTGGCAACTCTTAGTGTTTGGACTTTTCCTAGGTTTACTTTGTAAGCACAGACCCATAGGAAGCAGGGCTGGCAGGAGCTTTGGTCACCTGACCTATTCTCTTTTCCCAAAGAAGGCTTAACTACACCAAAACTATTCTCAACTGATGTTTGTCCAACCTGCTGTTAAAAACTTTGGCAAATACCTTTTTGGGCCTTAGAAGCCCTATCATTAGCAGTCTTTTCCCAGCCTTCAGCTTAGTATCCCATTCTCTTTTGCAGCAGTTGCATTCTATAATTTCTTACATATTTATTTTTTGTGTAGAGAACAGATTATTTATTTCCTTCTTGCAACAATTTCCAGTTACTTGGATTACCATGACCTGCAATTCTTTGCTTCTGGATTTAATAACTCAATTCTTTCTATCTTTTGCTGTAAGTCATGTTTTTCTAGACCTCTTTTTTTTTTTTTTGTGTGTGTGTGTGTGTTCCTCTCCTCTTCATTTGTCTATCTTCCTCAAAGTAGACTCAGTAATGCAGTTGAAGTCTTTCCAGTCCCAAGTAGAAAACAACCTGGTTTACAGACCAGTACTTTTCACATCCCCAGGGGATATCTGTTTCAAAACAGCATGACAATGTTACTACTTTAAGTGTATGAGCCAGTATAAATTCCAGTCTTTTCTGAAGAACCGCTGTCTACTCAGTTGTTTCTCCTCCTCTGTGTAGTTTGACTGTGGAATCTTGTCTTTAAACTTTCTGAATTGTATTATTTTTAGACTGTTTCTCCAATTTGTCAAACTCATTTTGAATTCTCATCCCATCCTCCCACAGACTTGCAGCAACTCATGTCTGCAAATGTAACGTCTATCAAATCGGTCATTAAAGAAAATATTTGATAGTACGCAGCTCAGGAATAACCACTTTGACAATGAATAGCTTTCTGAATATAGCTTTCCAACTGACTTTTCATCTGATGTGTAGTAGCATCGTCTGAACATGTGCTTCCCTATTTTCCTTAGAGAAATTGCCCATGCGAAACAGTGCCGGACTCCTTACTAAAGTCAAAATATATCCTGTCTCCCTGAACACAAGTCCTGATACTCTGCCATTGCAAGAAAAAAATCACTTTGACTTGATTTGTTCATAACAAATCCAAATCAGCTGTTACTCATCTCCTTGTTTTCTTTTAGGAAATTGTGTGTGTGTGTGTATATAAATATAAATGTTCTGCCAGTATTTTTTCTGTTTGCTGGGATTAAGCAGACTACTCTCATTTCTCGGTTTTCCTTTTCCTGCTTCTTAAACAACGCAAGACTTTTTTTAGTCTTGCAGAACCTCACCCAATAGCCATACAACAGCAGTTACAACTCTGGGAATATTTAGTTTCATTTTCACAGTATCCTCAAATCAGTATTATCAGGCCAATTGAGTTCTAAACACTTACCTCATTTAGGTATTCTCTAATTGAGACAACAGTTCTCATTGCTGCTTTTACTTACGTTTGCTGCCTGACTGCAGTTGGCCTTTTTATTGAAGACTTCTACTGAAATACTTTTAACTGTGTGGCATCATCTATTGGTACTGCTTCCTTTTAATAACAGAGCAACTTCTCATAACAACTTAACATATTTTTGTGTTTATAGAATGACTGTCCTGGTTTTGTCCCTGCTTGCTTATACCTTGTCTCTTACACTGGTTCAGAAAAACGTCACTTGTTTTGATCTTTCTGTCTGACTTCCCTGTGCTTACAGT